TTTCTTTCTTTCTTTCTTTCTTTCTTTCTTTCTTTCTTTCTTTCTTTCTTTCTTTCTTTGCCAGTCCTGGGGCTTGAACTCGGGGGGCTAGATGCTGTCCCTGAGCTCTTTTGCTCAAGGCTAGTGCTCTACCACTTGAGCCACAATGCCACTTCTAGCTTTTCCTGTTGATGTGGTACTGAGGAATCAAACTCAGGGCTTCATGCACACTAGACTAGGCAAGCACTCTACCACTAAACTATATCCCAGTCCCAGTGCCAAGCTTTTTATGTAACTTATTCTAATCACACATGCTGGACATATATTTATTTATTTATTATTTCCAGTCCTAGAGCTTGAACTCAGGGGCTAGATCCTTGAGTTTTTTGGCTCAAGGCTAGCACACTACCACTTGAGTCACAGCTTCACTTCTGGCTTTTTATTGGTTAATTAGAGACAAGAGGCTCATGGACTTTCTTGTCTGGTCTGGCTTTAAATCACAGTCATCAGATCTCAGCCTCCTGAGAAGCTAGAGTTACAGGGGGAGTATGGGAAGGGATGGGAAGGGGAAACAAAGAGGAGGCAACAATGCTGGATAAGAAATGTACTGGTTATCTTGCCCATGTAATTGTAACTCCTCTGTACAATATTCTCACAATAAAAAAAGTGTTGTGACAGCCAGATCTTGATTTAAAAAAAAATAAAAGCAAGACTCTATCTGTAAAATAAAGGAAAATAGGCCTTAGTCCTGGCTCAAGTGGCAGAGCACCTGCCTAGCAAGTACATGGCTATGAGTTCAAATTCTAGAAGCCCCTACCCCACCCCCCCAAAAAAAGAAATGACGAGTAGCATTAACATCATAGCTTAGCCAATGGCTGCATTTTGTTGTAAAAATAAGTACCAAAAGAATAGCCTTTCCATAATTCAATGGCAGTGTGATCACAAATAGTAGTTCACTGACCTGGCTGATGAAATGTTCCTTTCTCACGTGCCTTGAAATATATCTGATAGACTCTGCAGCTTTTTCCAAGAAAGTGATCAGAACCTTTTCTCCATCACTAATCTGCTTCTGTTTCTTTTTGCCCAAGACTTTACCTTTCACTACTGTTCGACTCTCCTCTTTATCTGGGAAAGAGTAGCGATCTACATGATCCTTCATGCAAAGCAATTTAGGAAGTTTTTGTAGAAACAGCTTCTTCACCCAGGGGGCCATGGGATGATAGGTGGAAGATGATCTGTGGTGAACATTAATTACAAAAACGGTAACAATGATTGACAGAGTGACGAAAATCATAATAAACAATAGGTACTCTCCAATGAGAGGGATGACTTTTGAAGAAGATGGGATTATTTCTTCAATTACTAAAAGAAAAACGGTCAGAGATACCAACACAGACGTTGATAAGGAAAGTTTTTCTCCTTCATCTGAAGGTAAATAGAACACAAGAACTGTGAGAAAAGATAGCCCCAGGCAAGGGATTATCAGGAAAAGTGTATAAAATAAAGGCAGGCGTCTCAGGACAAAAGAATAGGTAATAAATGGGTAAGAATATAAACCTTCTCTTCTGTTTCCTTTCATCCCTTTTGCATTTAGTATTTCCCATTCTCCATTGTCAAAGAAGTCTTTCCTGTCAACATTTTCATTTATCAAAATGAGGTCGACCATAGTACCATCATAAGTCCAGGATCCAAACTTCATAGAGCAGTTCTGTTGGTCAAAGGGGAAAAATGTAACATCCATGGTGCATGAACTTTTGTAACTGGCAGGAGGAGTCCAAGTGACACTTCCATTGGATTTCACAATGACCTTGGTCATGAGGGAGCCCTCGAAACGTCCATCGGCACTGCCATAAAAGGAATTTCACTTTAACAATTAGCTGAATGTTTATTTGCTTGGGATTTTCTCCCATCTCTGTACTATTTGTATTGTATTACTTTCCTACCACAATGTCAACTGATTTTTTTAAACTATTTTGCTACTTACAGGTGTATATTTCTCCTAATTATTTAACTAATATAACTATGATCACTGTTAATCTGACTAATATAACTATTTTCTGTGATACTTACTTTTCAAAGAGAACTATGTCAGGAAGCCAGAGAGATTCTGAGGGAACTTTAATTGAATGAATGCCACCATACTCATCAGGATTCCAGCGTAGTTTGTGGTCTGTCCATTCCTGAATAAAATGAGTAGATTATAATTTTTATTCTGGAAAATTCAGTGCATTAGATGTTGTGATCTTCATTTGTCTGTTAACTTACTAATTTATAATTTTATTAACAAAGGGAAATTAACCAAGGTTAGACTTTGTAACCATACCTGGAATTCAGTGCATTTATCAGGACAAGATTTGAGCCAACTTGGTCTCTGACTTTGCCCAGGTCCAACATCTAGCCTATTTTGTGTCTCCCAAATAGGAGGGCTTGGAGTCTCCACATCAAGCACTCAGTGAAGAGATTCAGAGGATGAAAAATTATAATTTATCTTTTTGGCCTACTTTTCTTAAGAAGCAAACAAAAGAAAGGCAATAGCCTAACATGGTGACACACCATTAATCCAGTACTTAGGAATTTGAGGCAGGAGTATCATGAGTTCAAAGCCACCCTAGGATACTTAGTAAGACCCTGTCAAAGAAGAAGAAGAATGAGAAGGAAGAGAAGGAGAAGGAGGAGGAAGAGGAAAAGGAGGAAGAGAAGGAAAGCTATGCAAAATGCAAGCCAGTGTTGGTTCATCAAGATTTTAATTTTTGATAATAAGTACATACTCAGTTTATGTCCTTGAGTATCACCAAGACTCTTAGCCTAACATTCATTCAATATATTAATATGAAACATTTAGTACCTTCTGACTATTCATGATGCCATTATAACTTTTACCCAGTGGACAGAGATAAAAGAATTTAGTATAACCGTTCAATCTAATTTTATTTTGTAAGTTCTCAATGTTTTAAACTTATCCCTAATATTATTGGCTTCCATAAGCTTATACTTTTTACATAAGGAAAGACCTCTTGTAATATTTTCTAGGGAATGATGGATACAGATTAAGAAATCTGATCATTAATTGTTTAGATTATTAAGGCAAAGTTATAGCAGAAATAGATCTTGGATCCAGAATCTCATGAAACCTGATCCCAAAGTTAAATTCTCCCATTCTGCTGGCCCTCCCAGAATAGTTGAATAAAACTGTTCAGGGTAGTGTTAAGTGTGTTTCTAAATGTTAAAAGGCTATGCCTAGTATGAAGTTTCTTGGAACCCAGTGATGCTAAATTGTCATTAAAAATATCAGGAATCAGCAAATTTAAAACTTCACCAGGTTGTAAAATGCTGAAATACAATTCCTAAAAAATGATGACCCTCATATGAGATATTGTCTTAGATAATATTTGTGAGATATGAATGGAATAATGAAAAGAATGACTTGAAAGAATGACTTACATCTTTTAAAAAGTGGCATTACTGAGCAAAGCAGATCCCAACCTATAGTCTTCTACTTGGGGCATAAAGATTGCTGGAAACAAAATTGACTGTCTCTTGGATCCACTTCTCTCCCTTTTAGGATCAGTAGCCCTGAGAAAAGGGTGATGATGATGAAGATTCTAAGTTTCTGCTTCGTTGCAGATCACAGCAAACTCATAAAAATTTAGGGAACTGGGACAAGGCTCATGAGGAATTTCTAAGTCAGAAAGACTTTTCTTTCCTCACCTGCTGCAGCATGATTAACAGTTGTTCCCAAAGAAAAGACACAGGTGATTTACCAAATGTGCCAAGCTCAATTAGCACTGAGGACCATGATTGGCCTTGATGCTCTATATTCCTAGCTTGCAACTCAGATAAGTAGGCTAACTAAAGACACCAATACCTGGTAATGACTGTCCTGAGGAGCTAGTTTGGATGTATGGTACAGAACAGCACAGAGGGGGAAAGAAATTCTGAAAAATGCCATGTAAGTCAGAGTGGTGGCCAGTGGGGCCCTGGGGCAGAAATAAAAGGTAAATGGATGCATGAGAAATGCATTTGATCCTTGAAGAGGAAGTAAAGAGATCTACAGTGGAATAAGGCTGCATTCCTGAGCTCAAGGCTAGCACTGTACCACTTGAGGCATAGCTCCACTTCTGGCTTTTTGGTTGTTAATTGGAGCACAAGTGGCTCATGCCTATAATCCTAACAAGGATTTGGTGGTCCCCAAAAAGGAAAACACACTGAATTAGAATTAGAAAATCCTGAGTTTCACATCTGTATTATAGCTTGCTAGATGTACAACTTAGAAAGTCACTAGGATTCAGCGTTTACCCTCAATTTCTAGTGTTAAGAGAGACATTTCTTTTCTTTTCTTTTTTTGGGGGTCCGGTCGTGAGGCCTGAACTCTGGGCCTGGGCGCTGTCCCTCAGCTCCTTAGCTCAAGGCTAGTGCTCTACCACTTGAGCCACAGTGCCACTTC